ATGACTCTATCGGGTTGGGCTCTTCCTTCTTTTTTGAGGTTTGCAGGCCTATGGCTAGCTTTCAATTGACCCACCTACCCTTTCTTTGCATTTGCTTCATGAAGAAGATCTTGACTATTTTGGGCTTTTTTTCATTGGAAAATTTGATATGGGCCCTGTTAGAAAGCAGCATCATTTCTTGTTTCAAAATACGTATAAGAAAACAATTAAGATTAATCTAATTCAGATTATGGTTTCTTAACTCTGGGCAAATTTGGTAGAACAGTTAAACAAGGCAAACCAGACATCATCATGACAAGGGAGCCCTTGGCTTCTTTCTAGTTTTGGACAAGCATCACTAAACTGCTGGCATAGAAATCTTTGTCTTCTTTTGGTTTATGTCAATGGAGGATGGCTAGGTTAAGATTGCTTGCAGTCGCTGGAATGCTTAATAGAGTTGGACAACACAACAGTGACTGCACAGCTCTTTCTCGCCTTCTTCCTCCATTGGCGCTAAGCTCCTCCATGCATCGACCGTTGCCGATGTATCAAATATATAGACTGTTGAAAGTGTTCGGGATGATTCACCGGCCATGCGGTACCCTGCCAAGAAATATAGTTGGGTTCCTATCGGTGCCATTGTTAAGTAAAGGCGTTCCATCGGTGGCCAATGCTCATCATTGGTGCCTGAAGATGTGGAGATTTGGAAACAAGATCCATCCACTTCATCCCACATGTTAAGCATCCCATTGTACATCTCAATGTGACCTTTCCAGGGCTTGAGACAATCCCCAGAGCTGAACAGCTTGCCGTCCACCGCGACAATCTGATTAGGTGGCACATCGAGCTGCCACATCCCAGCGACGAGGTCCCACCTCCCCGCTCGGGTGTCGAACACCTCAGCGGAGCTACGCTGCGGAGAAAATGTCAGCATGTTTAGGTCCGAATCCCCTCTTTCTGCAAAACCACCCACCACGTAGATTTTCCCTTGCCATGTCACTCCTACACACTTGTATCTCAATGTGCTCATGCTTGGCAATGGAGTCCATTCGTCAAGAGCAGGATCATACACCTCCGCCGATGAAA